GACCAGTAGATTAGAACATATTTCAAGTCTACAAAAATACAGTGTTCTTATATGGAGAGTTTTAACGTTTTCTGAATGAACTAGTAAAGCAAAATTTTAATACCTTGCTAGAAGTATATCAAAGATGTAGTAGTCTCTTTTCTGCTTCAAGATCAGCTTAGGAATTGTGTTATTGGCTGGGTTATGTACCTTTAGGCAAAGTCGATTAATATTTTTTAATTGTCTGAAAAATAAAAGTTATCATGACTTTGTATCTGAAAGTGCTTTTGAAAAACTGTAGCCAGTTTAAAGTTGTGAAGACAGCATTGTCAGCTGAATGGTCAAAAAGAGGTTAAGCTAGCCCGTTTCTAGAGAAGTACTTTATCTCCAAACTGCTTCACCTTTCCTTTTTCCTAGAATGTATGACATTTCTAATACTGACTTTTGGAAGAATTTGTATAGTTCTTCTGAATGGAAGAACTATGTAGGTTCAAAAAGAATTTATATAGCTTTTGCAAGGTTTGACTTGATTTGTTTAGAAACTCAGGCAAGTTACTAATACCAATATTCACCACATATGAGGTGTTCTCTTGTGTAAAAGCTAGTTTTGTCTCCCATCCTGAGCTCTTTTCCACTGGACAGCATTAAATGTAGCTGCCTCTTTGGAATTGCCTTCCTGGCAACAAAATGTTTGGGGTTCTTTTTTCTAATTTGTCAGGCTAGATGGTTACATCCCTTGGCCAAAGGGTCCTTTTACATTGTGGTATGATGTTGATGTCAATTGTAAGTATTTTTCTGTCTACCCTGCGGTTTTGCTTTTTCTCTGCCCTGCTTCTCTGTGGTTGGTACATACAGCTCTCTGAAAGTTTAACACCAGCAGTGGATCAAGAGGGGGTGGCACATCTCACCAAGGAAGCCACTCTTCAGTAAAAAGGATTGGACTGCTGTTATGTGCAGTGTCCAAACTGTGTGAATCCATAGCAGTCTAGAATAGGTGATAGCAGCAGAAAGGCAGATGGGTGGCTGCCAGGTGCTTGGAGCTGGGTGGAGGGCTAGCTGCAGGGCAGGTGAAGGGCTTCTTAGTTGATGGAAATGTTCTGTGTCTTGATTGTGGTGTTGGTCATAGGGGTGAATACATTTATGAAACTCCATATTGAACCCCATATAGTATATTTTGTCACATGGAAATTGTATTTGAATGAAGTTTTTTAAAGAAGGTTAAATACCAAACTCTAAAATGGGGCATGAATAGTGTGAGTTTAAAAGTTTAGTCCAAAAGCATACTGTATCTCAATTTGGCAATAAAGCAGCAGCCCACAGTTTGTTAAGTTTATTTCATTTTTGAGGGTCACAGATTAGATAAAAAAAATTTGTACTACTGTCCATTACTGTGTCATACTATGCATAAGGACACTTTAGTATTACACGAACTAAGTAATAATTTGTGTTAATAATACAAGAGTTTTGAAGTACTTTGTAAGTGAAACCACTTATCATGTTTTTTGGAGTGTTTTAATGTAATATGTGCTGTTTTTTTCCCTCTCTAAATTGTGCATTTTTAAGTCTATTCTAAGTCACACAATTCAGATAAGTAATTTTTTTCTTATAGTAGCATTGATACACAGTCTTATGAATGTTTCACATGAACAGCATTGTAGCTTCAACATTCACTCACATTATCAAGTCCTCACCCCCAATTGCAGTCACTGTCTATCAGCATAGTAAGATGATTCCTCAGGCTTTATTCCCTGTTTGAAAGTACAGAATGATGTTTCCCCTGGGAGGGGACGGGAGCTGCAGAACATTGGATGTGATTTCCAGAGCTTGGGTCACCCAACTGTTCATCCATGAGACAAATATTCACTGAGCACTGATTGTATCTTGCACTGGGACCCAGCCCTGAACTAAGACAGATGTCACCCCTGACCTCACAGAACTAACGTTCCCTACAGGATTGGAAAGGAGCTGACATTTTGTGAGCACCTGCTATGGGCTGGGAATTTCTCCTACATGATTTTTGTGCTAGTAACACCCCAAGGTTGGTTTTATTGTCCCACTTTGCAGATACCAACCTGTGAGATTCAGACAGGTGAAGTCAGTTGCCCAAGGTCTTAGGCTTGAGGATGGTCACACTGGACTTTGGACCCAGCATGTCTGATTCTCCTACTCTCACCTGCAAACTTTCTGTAGACGAGAGGAGGGACAGTCCAACTTGGAGGTTACCTTTGTTCACTCTCATGGTGACATGATTTCTGAACTGATCTTGAGGACAGGACCTATCTTCTCCATCCTGGTGCCTCACGGATCCCCCATGTTACCTCCCTGGTGAGAAGGGCATAGCATTTCAAACACAGGATCAATTTCAGCATGTAACACCCTTTTTGGCACTGGTTAGTTAATCCACCTCTTCCAGGAAGCCTGCCCTGATTGTCCCAACCACAGGGACCTTACTGTCCTCTCTGTGGCCACAGAGAGTGCAGATTATTTGTGGCATCATCTGTATCACCATCCTCTTCTTCCCCTAACTCAAAATTGGCAGATATTTTCTTACTAAAGTATCATTGATATACACTCTTAATGATGGTTTCACATAACCAACACAGTCATTTCAACATTCACTGTATTATCAAGTCCTCACCTCCTGTATTGCAGTCACTGTCTATCAGTGTAGTTAAGATGTTTGAGTCATTAATTGTCTTTTTTGAGCTGTTCTGCCTTCCCTGTGACCTACTTATATTGTGATTGTGAATTGTAATGCCCCTTAATCCTCTTCTCCCTCCTCACCCACCCTCCCCAGCCCATTCCCCTTGGTAATAACCACTAGTCCCTTCTTAGAGTCTGTGAGTCTGCTACTATTTTGTTCCTTCAGTTTTGCTTCATTTTTATACTCTACAAATGAATAAAGTCATTTGGTACTTGTCTTTTCTGCCTGGCTTATTTCACTGAGCATAATACCCTCTATCTCCATCCATGTTGTTACAAATGGTAGGATTTGTTTTCTTCTTATGGCTGAATAATATTCCATTGTGTATATGTACCACATCTTTGTCCATTCATCTATTGATGGCTCTTAGGTTGCTTCCATTCGATAAGAGTAATTTAGTATTTTCTGCAATACTTAAAAAAATAATTTCTGGCAGGCACTCCCATTTAGAAATCTAAACCATACCTTTTGGGCCCTATCCCCTTTTTTTTCCTTAAGACTAAAAAGACTAAAAAAATAGACTCAGAAACAGAAAATAGACTGGTTGTTGTCATAGGTGAGAGTAGGTGTAGTGATGGGTGAAACAAGTGAAGGGTAGAATTAGTATGTTTGATGTTTTGGTCTGAGTGATGGCTACATGAATGTGTAAACATTTCAATTCATTAAGCTGTACCTAAGATTTGTACATTTTAATGTTTGTGCCTCATATAAATAAAATAATTTTAAATATTAAAAAATAGTGATACTAATTAGCTGAGTATGTTAAGCTAGTCCTATAATCTGTCCACATGCTGTGTTTGTCTTTCAGTGAATGGGGTGTGTGTACAGGCAAAGATAAAATAGTATATCAGGCATACATTTGTGATCACAACAATAATTCTGGTGATATGCCATATAGAAAATCAACCTGAAAATAAAAGAGAGATTTAAGAGACCCTTTGGCCAATCTTCTTTCCCTGCTTAAATTTCATAATCTGTACCAGTTTGAGGAGTCTAGATAACCTTTGATAACCTTTCACTGAAGTTATTTTTAAAAAGTCCCTAAAGGTATGGTTTAGATTCTAAGTGGTAATGCCTGTCTGTCTGAACATAGATTTTTGTCTTTGTGGTTCTGTTTTCTGTGTAAAGGCTCTTTAATAGCTTGCTTTTCACTTAGCAACTTTCAGTATATATGGTGTAAGTGGCACCCCAAGTCGAAGGAACTGAAGTTTTCAAATGAAAGTCTAAAAGGTCACAAAGTCTAGAAGTCTTTCACCACCTTTCCCCAGACCTTCTACTGCTGTTTTTAACGTAATCAGGAGTAAGGAATTTCTTATCTTAACACTTTAAAGCAGTGAAATGGTCAGAAAATGAAAACTTCCTGGGTGAAAGCAGGTGACCTGGCCAATTATCATTATATAATTGGTCTCCAAAAAAGTTCTGTTTAGAATAATATTGTAGTTCTCATGGAAAAATATGCTTGTTGACTCAGAGACCTTTCAGTATTTATTGGGGGTCTTTGTTTAGATAGAGCACACTGCACAGTACATCATTATATGTGATAATATTGTTTAGGGGAAGGTGAGAGTGGATGGATGCTCTAATGGTTTCCTTGTAGTTCATAAAAATGGTACTAAACTTAATTGCTTTACTTATTGAAAATCTGTTAACCCCATAAAAGTATTAGTTACATTCCAAAATAACACATAAAGTGTGCTTGAGTGGTCATGGCTATTCCCCACCCCCCTGCCATTATAGAGTTTTCTGTAAACTGGACATTCCAGTAACCCTCAGTTCAAGTGTACTGTATATTCCTTGCTGATGGGGTGGTATAAAGAAAAAGAAAGCATTTTGTTCTCTTGGAGCCTTATTGATAAGCCTCATCATATAAACTAGGTAAAGTGAGAGTATAAAGACAATGTAATAAAGTGCTAAATGAAATTTGTTAAAATCTTATTTAAAACAGAGTGTATACTAAAAAAGGTATTAGCTTTCATAGTGAAGAAAAGCAGTAGAAGAGCAGAGTTGTGATAGGATCCTTTAAAGAGGATGGTTGGAGAGAATAAGGACTGTCATTCAGGTTGTGGGATAGCTTGAGTCAAAGTTGGGCTAAAGGGGGATTTTCCTGAACATGAATGCCAACTGCAAAGTGAACTTTCCCAGTATGAAAAGGCTAAGTAAAGAAACTATGGAAGAAACATAGCAGACTGCTGGGAGAGGCCATGGGAAGAGTCTGTAGAGGACTTCTGACCAGGATGATGACTTGAAGAATTTCGTAATTTTTAATTTATGGTAACTTCTCATTTCAAAATTTTACTTCTGCCTGTCACATGTGTAGGTTTAAGAAAATCTACTAAGAAGCGCAGTGAATCCCCACCTGCTGAGCTCCCCAGTTTGAGGCGGAGCACACGCCAGAAGACCACGGGCTCCTGTGCTAGTGCCAGGTAATACATCAGTTTCTGGTTTACACGGGATTCATTACATCTGCTCAACTTGCATTGGAACCCTTAACTTTACAATTTTAAAAAAATTATTACAGTTTTCACTTGAAATTGATAAACTTATTCTATAACTGGTATTATTTTTGTGAATTCATCCCCAATATTTATTTACATATTTTTGCTACATTTTAATCATGCTTTTTTTTTGACAACCGCTTTGATCCTCCTCCACCTTTTCCTCTGTTGTTGCATTGTGTTTGCAGAGTTTTTGCCAATAGTTGGACATTTGGTTGTTTGCAGAGTTCCACCTTGCCAAATAAATCTGTAGTGAGCATCTTTATGCAGATTTGGGGGGTATTTTTAAAACGTAGCTAAATTTCCCAGTAGTGCGACTAAGGGATCAAAATGGATGCCTGTTTTAATGGCTGTAATTTTGCCTAACGAGTTACAACGTGTTGGCACCACTATTGAGTTTAATGGGTATGGGGGAGAGATGTACTTAATTTACATTTTGTATTACAAAACCTGCTCCCTAAGGAAGCAAGTAGGTTTTGTGTGTGTGCTTTCACATCTCCAGTTTCCATTTCTCCTGTTGCTGTTTTGGATCTCATTTTTCAGAAAATCAGCTGCCTTTGATGTGGTAGGGTGTAGTATTTCACATACTTTTATTAACTAGCTGAGATTCATAGGTTAAAGGTAAAAATCTTTTTCTTGTATTTAATTTCCTCCCATATTTTCAGCGTTATCATTTCCTCAAGTGCCCTTGTGCTGCTAATTGCTCACAGCCATGTAGGACTTTCCCATTGTTAAGTGCAGTTTGTTCTCTGCTAAGTGTGCCAGAAACCAACAAGCGGGGGAATTGATTTTAGTTTACCTTCCCTACTCTAGGTCAGGTGAGTAGGAAGGGTTTAGCACTTACTTTTGGTTCTTTTCTAACTAGGGTAGTTGACTTTGCTCTTGGTCCCCTAGTGCCGTTTGGAAACAGTATGACTTTCTTCTGTAGAAGTCTTAAGCAAAAGACCCTTGCCACTTAAATCTCCTCTTTTCCACTTACCTCCTAGTTCTGTCTGGATTGTTTCAAGTATCTGGAGTTAGTATATCTCTTTGCTTTTGAGGTTTCTTAACAATACCTTTATGAGGACCTCAGAAAATTTTTTAGTTCGTTAGGGCTTTTGTCCTGTTTTAGGGTAGATTTTGAATCTGGTTTACCTGAGGTACAAACTGAATTCACTGTGGTTGCAGTGAATTTTAAGCTGTATGCAGTCAGGTAATCTAGTGTCCAGCCTGTCTCTCGAGCCTTCTTCAAGTCATGATCACTTCTTTGGTGCCCCGGAGATTACTGATCAAGCTGTATACGAGCTGTCTAGCCACCAGCCCAGAGTGCTCTCATCTCAAACTTCTGAGTTAGTTGATGTCCTGTTCAACTTGGTGCTTTCAAAGCCCTATTGCAGCTGTGTCTCAGGCTTCTTCAGACTAACACTCCCTGAGGGTAGCAACCAAAGTGTTTAGCTCAGTGTGTGTCACATGGCTGCTGCAAATGGAATGCTAAATGAATGAATCAGTTTGAATCCTGCTGATTTGTAGCTTGGTCAGTTGGGTTTGGAATGAGCTGTTTCCCTTTGAAGGAAAGATTGGCTAAGCAAATTCCTATTTAGGGAGGATTTTTTACTTATTGGAAGAAAAAAATCTTCTTGTACTCGCCAGGAATTTAGAGCTTTCATTTCCATGTCACATATGCCTGCTGCTTGTTATTTACTGGGCAGCATTTAAATTCACTGTAGTTTGACTACAGTCTAAAATGTTTCTTCAGTAGTAGGTTTCTTAAATTTTTAAGGTAATTGGGGAGCTGCTGATTTAAACGTACCAAGTTGTTGTAATTTGGGAAAGTCTTTTTTTTTTTAACCTTATTTGCTTATTGATTGTGATTTCCCTATTAAAGTAGAAAAAATCATCAATAAAATGTCATTTGCTTCATGAAAAATGACTGATCATCCTTTTCTCCATGTCTTCTGTGTTCTCATCCTAAACAAATGTCTTTCCAAATACCATCTGTATTTATTTATAAATATTAAATCCACTATTTACTCTGGAAGTTGGGATCTAATTTCAATGAATGGTCTCTGTGGAAGGATTCAGTTTTCCATTTAGTAGGAAGTGTTTAAAAATCATTTTTGTAAGGATGACAATGGCTCATAGCAACACAAAAGCTTGTATTGTGAATGCGATGTAACTTGGAAGAATTTTAAATATACAAAGTCTTGGTTGTTACTCATAGTGATTTTCTGCAACAATTTTTATGAAAAAAGAAGAAACTGGCTTTGTGCTCCCTGCACTGGAGCTCTGTGCGGTGAGGGTGGTGCTCCTGGTCACTGCTGGTTTCGCCTGTGATGGCTGCTTTCCATTGCAGTCGGCGGGGCTCTGGCCTGGGCAAAAGAGGAGCTGCTGAAGCTCGTCGGCAGGAGAAAATGGCAGATCCTGAAAGCAACCAGGAGACAGTGAATTCTTCAGCTGCACGGACCGACGAAACTCCCCAAGGAGCTGCAGGTAGATAAGTACTGCTTGGCCCTGAAGTGCATTTATGTATCTTAAAGATTTATTTAGAGAAGAATTACTTGTTAGATATTCCAAAATAATGTAAGAGAAGGAGCAGAAATACACTAGGTGCTACCATCAAATAACCTTTTTCTTCTCTTTTTTCACTTTATAGGTTTAGCTTTTTGGTTAGTTGGATTTATGTGTTGTTTTTTAATCCTCTTCCAAATCCACCTTTGTACTATTTACATTCAAAGGGCTGTTAGGAGGGAGTAAATCCTTTTCTGTTTGTTTTTTATAGGTCAGTACATATCATAGTTGCCCATTGATTGTTAGAGGAAATATAATTTCATAACAATATGGTCAAAATGGCTTTATACATATGTAAATTTTAATTAGAATGTTGTAACCCCTAAGAAATAATAAGTATTCTGTTTGAATCTAAGCAACTGTACATTTTATGGGCTTATTTTTATTTTTCTTGGTATCTTAGCACAGCAAAAATTCTTTTCTCTCCCTTCAGCTTTAAATATGTATCCACTACCAATATGAAAAGTAGCTTGTCACTAGCATTTCTCACATTAAGAACAGACCAAAAAATGTTACAGTTTATCGTTAGGAACATATGGATATGCATCCTTTAAATGAGGATGATACACATAGGTTGAGGTGTGAGCATATAGTTTGAACAAAGCTCTTTCATATGCTATTGTTTAATATTAGAATATATGCTAATTTTCTTTAATGCCTACAGTTAATGGCACATCCCGTTTGCCAGGAAGGTTTGGTTTGCCCACTACTGTCCCATGTTTTATGCTTTTTGTCTCAGCTTTCTGTCCAGTTTAATAACTCTTCTTACTGATCTTTCCTTTTGTATGATAAATTACATAGTGACCCTACAGCATCTCTTATGCTGGGAGGTGACACTTTTTTTTTTCCCATACCTTTTTCCTAGAAGAGTTTTTCTGAAGGGTTAAATGGTAGATGGGGGTTAAAAAAACATGTGCAATGAGTTTTTGCACATGTAACTCACTGATGCTCTTCCTGACACATAACACATCCTTCCCAGTATTTTAATGTTTATTTCAAGTCTGAATATGGAAGCGGGGCAATTCCCATATGGATGACAGATGGAGCTGCTGAGTGTGGTGTTAAACTGGACTCCCTACAGTAATTATAGTAGCTGACATTTATAGAGTAGACTCTCTTTTGTAGAGACAGTATTACGTACTTTATATATGTTCTTGTTAAAAATTCAAAACTACCTGCTGAGGTGTGAGTATGGTTAGTCCTATTTTATAAATGAGGAGGAACAGTGAGCATAACAGTTAAGCTCACCCAGGGTTACAAACTAGGATGTATGCCTCTCCATCCAGGTCCTTTCAGTTGAAAAAAAGTGCACCTTTGTAACAGCCATGCCTTTCTGCTTCCCTTGTAGTTTTAAGAGTTTAATTCATATGTGTATAACTGGGGGCCAGAACAAGGGGTTGGTGTGTAAAATTTTGTTCCCTGGTATGGGAACCTAAGAGGATAAAGGCTTCCAGGAATTAGGTTCATAAGACTGCCCTCCTAAATTACTCAGTGCCTTCATTCCAATGTCACTTACATTTGATATCACAGTGCGTTCTACATGTTTTTCCAGTTTACGTAAAAGATACATGTGGCATGTTCACTGCCCCAAGAGCAGTACGAGCTCATTACATTTTGGAGGCTTGGATCCTTTATGGATCCTACAGAAATTCCTCTGTCAGCCCACTAAAGTAGTTCTGGGAGAAGAGGCAGATTATTTGTTAGCTTTATATTCTTCAGTGTAATGTGCTTTAATTTCTCAGTGTGTAAAATTGCAATTAAAAAAAAATAAACACACTAAGTTAGTGTGGAGAATATAGTATGAGCCGATAACTTAAGAGCTGCTTTTAGCAAACGTTCATTCTCAGACATCCTGGACAGTTGGTGTAACACTCTAATTTGTTTTGAAATCATGTTTTCACTACTTTAAACAGATTGATTTGATCTCTTTGGTGCTATTTATATATTCATTTTTTAGTGTTATTTTTTTAAGAGCATATCTTTCTGACCTGTTTTGTTGTAATCATTGACATAAGCATACTTCTTTTCACACATTAGATAGTAAATCATTGCTCCAACTTTGGCAAACTTGCTAATATCACCCTGACTTTGCTAGTGTTGTTGACACTTAGGAAAGTTTGTTGATGATAAAAAGCCTCGGCTGGGTGGGTCACCCTCAAGTATAGTCTAGTGTGGGGCCCAGCCCCGCTAGTTCTTCATGGAGGAAATGCTAGCTCTTGAAGTTGAAAGTTAAGTGTTCCCATTTTTCCACAAGTTGAGTCATTTAGTTTTTTACTTCATCAAAACTCTGTACCCTTTTATAATGCTGATAAAGTCTTGCCAATACTAGAAACACTAAAGTGGAAACTCATGTATTCTTCTTTATACCTGAAACAATCAGATGGTAAAGAAAAATACACAATGTTCTGACACCACATTTTGCATTGAGAGTATTTCACAAGTGAACAGAATGCACATTGTAAGAAGAAACTTTTGTAAATGTTTCTCCCCCTAATGACTTTGGTTTAGTACCACTACAAATTAGGTTGCTACCGTATCACCTAATACCAGGCCCATTTAAGGCATAATTACATTCTTTACAGCCATTCTTATCCCGCTCAAAGCTTTTGTGACACTGAAAAAAATCTTCTTGTTGCCTCCAGTGCTTAAGTATCTGGTAAACCCTTAGTGGTTCCTGTCAAGTAAAACAATTCTGGCAGCTTTCTAATATTTTAGCTTTGCTTTCTGCATAAGAGGCTTCATAAGTTAAATTATATAAGTCTGCCATCAACACTTTCTCCATTGTTTCATCCAGTTGTGTATTGGAGACTAATTGTGAAGATACGCCAAGGCTAGATAGGAGACATACTGGTTTAAACAAAAAACTAACTGACCTCCTCCTAAAAACCTAGCATTGGGTTTTTCTCTCTAGTCTCACTTTTATATTTCTGTCTGGGGATACATCTTGTGCATGTTGCCCAAGGAGGTTTGATGCCTTGATTAAAGAACTTTGTCATTGACTCTTAATTTGTTGGTTATATTTCCTTACCTGCATGACTTTATAAACAGCCACTCATAAGCTAAGCTAGTTTGGTTTATCTAATTCTGTAAAACTTTACATAGAAAACAATAGTGAACAAATGCTTAAGACCTGCCACCAAAGGGCTCTCAGAGCATCTTTTTCTTTGGGTCTAGTAACTGGTTTCTGTCAAAACAGACATTCTACCTCCATTAAAAGTCAATATTCTTGCCCTTCTTGTAGTGGTTCTGTGGTTCCCTTAAGATTGGGACCCCACTGTAAGTCTTAAGCAGCTCTTTTAATTATGTGCTTTAAAAATTTTTGTGTCTTGGTTAATGTCTTTGTAGCAGTGCAATTTGACATATTCATTATGTATGTAAGTCATTAGAATAATGTGTTTAAGAAGTAACTTCAACTTAAACCTTTAAAATAACAGGTTGTAGATCTGTAGCGTGTTTTAAGGTAAAACTAGTAGACCCTCTGATACATCTAAAAAACGAGCATTACCCGAGAAAGTGAGCTTCTTTTTTTCTTCAAAAGTATTTTCAGAGAGTGCTTTAACAAAACCAAATTTCATTTGTCAGACCTTTGTATTTGGTCTCTACATAATTGGAAGAGTTTTAAAGAAGTTTTGGAGTCATTTTTAACAAATACAGTCACAACTGATACCTCATAACAGTATTTTTAAACAAGATTTCTGTATGATGTGAAGCAGCAGTTATACTTGAATTAAAAATTAGTACTGAAGAGTCTATATGAGGAGCTGATGGAGTACAGTTCTGAAGAGTACAACCTATGAAGACAGAATGCCTGGGTTCAAGTCTCTGACATGGTGGTAACTAAGCTTGGGCAGGTACACTCAAAGTCAGAAAGCCTCAGTTGCCTTGTGTGCGTGATAAAGCTTATATACCTCTTTGTACCACATAGACACAGCTTGCATATAATATTTAATTAATACCACCTATAAGTAGCATTACAGAGTGTAATTATTATTCATCTCCTTTGTCTCACCAGAAATGTGGATTTTGCTAAACCCTGACCATCTTTAATACTAGCATTTCTGTTAACCTATAACTCTAAACTATGGCATGGGGTTGCAAATATTTTCTGTAAAGGACCAGAAGTTGATGTTTTAGGTTTTATACAGGCTTTTTTGGAACTACTCAACTCTATATTGCGACAGCAGCTACAGATAATATGTAAAATAATGAGTTTGGCTATGTTTTAATACAATTTTATTTGCAGAACAATGTGCTGGACTGAATTTGGCCTTTGGGCCAGTTTGCTGACTCCTGTTGTAAACCATACCTTAATCCATGAATTTTTAAAAAGTCCCAGTGAGATGATTAAAAAAAATACTTAATGAACTGTGAAGAAAAGCATTATGAAAATACAGAAATGGTGGCTGATGTATTAGCATCTCTTTTTTCATAAAAGCTCTGCAAACTCATGTTGTCCATGTACCTCTTTTAGCAATAATGACAACAGTTTTCCTCTTGACTTGCATTCTGTCTCATCTGTCAAGTATTCAGGGTTGAACGTATGGTGGATAATACGGTGCCTAAACTCATTGTCTATGTTTAAAAATGCTTTAGGACTCAGACACAGAGGAGGAACAGTAAAACTGCTAGTTTTACAGATACGGAGTTTCATCTCCTGGTCAGATTCATAATGAAATTGATCTCTGTTTGCTTATTAGATTGAATGATTGATCAAGTTAGCATTTTATGTAGTAGGATTCTTCTTCATGTAAGCTGCTCATTCCTTACTTGTTTTGACATTTTTACTGCCCTGTCTCCTGGGCCTCAGTGCTTTGCAGTCATCTGTTAGTTGTATGTCTTCAGTATTTTGTCTTAGGTATATGGTTATTATCTTTGCACACTCTTGAAATTAAAGAAAACAGATAAATAGCTGTATGGAGACTGTAGTCCAGGAATGAGGCAGACTGAAGAAGGCACACAAATGAAACATTCCCCCCAAGTGTCAGTTCCGCTTTCTGTTACGTTTGTGACTGGTTGCCCACTTACCGAATATCACAAAGTTTCGGCTGTGTTATCTTCATAGACTTCTGGTAGAGGAGATCAGGACAAGACTTAATTTAGTTTCAAAGCCTGAGGAATCTGTGAAAGCCATGGATGAATGAAGTGCAAAGGTGGTATTTTTATGTTTGCTGGATATTTAAGATTGTTGAGCCATCCTTTTGTTTATAAAAGTCCAGAACAACAGCTGCCCATTGATGGGCAGACACACATAATTGCTGTCATCGTAGTCTGTAAACCTCTGCCTTTTCTTTGTTGAGATAAATTAGCCATAATGAATTTGTTCCTCTCCTAACCCTCAAGTTTTTTTTTCCTTCTCTTTTTTTTCCTGCTTTTTTTCCCCTTTTGAAGCCTCTAGTTCTGTTGCAGGGGCTGTGGGCATGACCACCTCTGGGGAGAGTGAATCAGATGATTCTGAGATGGGACGATTACAAGGTAAAGATAATTAATTGAACTTATAAGAAATGATTACCATGGGCTGCCTGTTACTACTACTGTTTGTTGAAACTAATTCAGATAAACTCATTAGAATATAATCTAGCAATGCCTTTACCTCCAAAAAGGCTTCTTATTTAGTGGTGATTGGATGATTTGGAATTGGGAGATTATTTGTGTAGCTTTTCATTTTTACTGTTTAATTAGACAAAATCTTTATGTTTCAACATTTTTTTCATTATGTATGTATAGCTTGTAATAAATTAATGGAAGCTCTTGAAAAGGGGGTAGTTTAATATATTATTTTATAATACCTGATAACGTCATGCATCTAGTTGGGGCCATTTTCTTTTATGTTCTTGATCACTTCAAAATGAATGTAAAATGTACATATAAACTCCAGGTATTTTAGAGGATCTCATGACTAATATCTGATTGGGAAATAATATCAGAGGGAAAAAAAACAGTGCACGGGTACTTAATGTGTAATTTCTTCAAAGTAAATATTTACTTTGGGTTTTTCTTGGACTACTTACACATTTTCCACTGGCGTTACTATTCTTTATGTCTCCATAAAAACCTTAAGATGGCTTGGAGCTGCACATGGATATTATATTAATATGTAAGAGTGGTCTTAAAAGTTTAATACAGCTTCTCAAAGTTCAAATTGGAAAGTGACTTGTCTAAATCAGTTATGTGAGATGAATCATTTGCTTGAAAATTTTAGATATGATCAGACAGTTTAACAACTCAACTGCTCCTCCTGTCCGTCTTTTTTCCTTAGCTTTGTTAGAGGCCAGGGGTCTTCCTCCTCACCTATTTGGCCCTCTTGGTCCTCGGATGTCACAACTTTTCCATAGAACAATTGGAAGCGGAGCTAGTAAGTGTGGATACTTCTAAATTTTGTTCTTACCCCCAGAATCCTTAATAATTAGTTAAGTGATGTTTTTACTGTTTACCTATTAATGTAATAATGAAGCTTTCATGAACTTTAACCTGTTTTAAGAAAATAGGGCTTGTGCACATTCCTGCCTTAACTAGAGCAACTCTTAAGATTTTCTTGTGTACTTTTATTCTTGATTACTGAACTGGAGTCAGTAGAAACCAAGATTGATATTGACTTGTTTTGTTTTATTGAACTATAGAAGGGTAAAGAACCTCAGTTGATTACATTTATTATCATAACATCTGATTGCATGATTTGCACATATTTGAATTTTTCATGGTATAAAAAACTTTAACCCGTAAGACAGTCAATTGTAATACGAGCCTGAGAGGAAAGATTTCGCAGCAGAATTACCAGCCATTGAACTCATTTAATCAGTTTATTATAATGTGGTAATAAACCTTATATGTGGTAGACACAATAGTGACTCTTCAAGTCTCAATTTGTAAATAAGTAAATCTTTTGAATAATTACAAATCCAGTTAAATTCTTTATGGTATTAAATAGTATCTATAGCTTCTTTAAAATTTAAGTAGTTTATAATATCTCTATCCTTAATGTTTCCTTAGTACCAGTAGGCTAGTTGTAAAGTTCAATCTTGATGAATTTCCAAGTTTCTAGTGTTACTGAAGGCTGTTAACTCTGTTTACTAATACATACTTATGTAATGTTCCAGCAAATGGTTCTGTTTTTTTTTTAATTCACCATGTGTACATGTGCTCACATATGTGTATTTAAGGCTTTTTCATTTGACAGGAAAGTTAAGCAGCTGGTATTTTTTGTTTTGGTTTACTTTTGCTGCTGTGACACTCAGCTCTCCAATAACATAACCCTGTCTCAAAGTTCTTATGAGCCTTTGAATATGGATTTTTATTCAGTGTCATTTATTAGGTGCTGGAATCGTATTGAGTCATAAGCAGAGTTGTTTCCCACATGGACCTTCCATGCTAGAGGGTGACCCTGGCAATAAATAAGACATTTGTCATGCGGAAAAGTTCCAGGTAGTGTCAGTGCACTGAAGGGAAACAAAGCAGAGTGAGGATATGGGTTGGCTGGTTGAAGGGTGCAGATGGGCTGCTTAGGTAAACCTCCTGGGAAGCATGGTGATTTTCTGGAAACTAAGCTTCCTAAATGAAGTGAGGAAATGAGCTATGTACTGGTCCGAGGGAAAGGGGGAAGTACAGTGCTGGAGGGGGGAGTGAACTTGGCATGTTTGCAAAAGGGACAGCAAGATGGCCTGTGGCGAGAGTGAAGGGAAAGTGGTAGAAGATGAAATTTGAAGGGTGTAGACACTGGATCACATAGAGCTTGGGCAGGCCAAGCAGCAAGTGTGGGGTTTAACCGAAAGGAATGATCAAAGGTTTTCAAAATAGGGATTGACGTGATCTCCATAGGAACATGACCAAGCATACGCAAAAGTTAAGAATGTAGTGGTATAACCACCGTGAAACCTTTAGAAGTGCTTAGTCCACAGCAACTGTTTTGTTTCATTTGTATTCTCAACCATTTTCCCCACTTGTAGACTTATTATTATTATTATTATTATTATTATTATTATTATTATTATTACTATTTTTGTTGAGAGTTTTTATCATGAATGGATGTTGAGTTTTGTCGAATGTTTTTTCAGCATCTATGGAGATGATCATGAAGTTTTTGTCCTCCTCTTTTTTGGTGTGGTGGATGATGTTGATGGATTTTCAAATGTACCATCCTTGCATCTCTGGGATGAATCCCACTTGGTCATGGTGTATGATCCTTTTGATGTATTTTTGAATTCAGTTTGCTAATATTTTGTTGAGTATTTTCGCATCTATGTTCATCAGGGATATTGGTCTGTAGTTTCTGTTTTGGTGGGGTCTTTGCCTGGTTTTGGTATTAGGGTGATGTTGGCTTCATAGAATGAGTTTGGGAGTATTCCCTCCTCTTCTATTTTTTGGAAAACTTTAAGGAGAATGGGTATTAT